CGGGCGTCGTGAGGACATTGGGACTGCTGCCACAAGCTCAATCTAGGGCATGCTCGCATCGATAGCGAGTGGTAACGATATATGACAAATATTTACAAAATTGGCTTACTAGAATAGGTTATTAAACGAAGTTTAGTGGAAGACTGTCGGATTATTTTATGCCCAATCCTCATTGAATCCGGATAAGGATTAGTAAGCCAAAATAGCCATGCCTTGTCATTGCAGGTACTTCTGTTTTTGAAGAGATTAGATACGGAGATAGCTATCCCTGTACACTTTTCCGTGTTGTGATCTTTACCTCCAAAACCTACCCTACCTGCTTGGAATTCAATTATTGTAACGTCAACTACATAATCCCGTGTTGCACATTTGAAGCTCCTAAAAGAATTGTAAGTGTTTTTTTTCGATCTTGGTTTACAGTAGTTACGATTGGAAGATTTTGATGGGCCTCTTCATGCGGCTGAAGATTTTAAACAGACAAATTAATATCTTTCAGGTTTATTTTAGCATATTGCAAACAGTTAATATAACAAGGCATGCATCGAGACTAAATCGTACATATTCTAATGTTCTCTCCAGATTACTTGTAGTCTTGTAGGCATGAATTCAGATTTGCCTAGCCATGTACCTGAAAGTAGGGCGTGTTTCGGGCATTTGAGACATTCAAGTCCCTGCTCGGTTTTGATATACATTTCCTCTTTCTATACATCGTCTATTGTATGATCCTCAATCGAGCAAAATATATATGTGCTGTTACTTCAAATAGGGCAGATCTACTTTGTGTCACTTACTCATTAATAGTTTGATTGACTAGCTGACATCCAAGATGTTTTGCTATTCCGTTGCTGTAATAATTTTACTTTGAGTATGAAAGGAATTCAAAGAAACGCGGATACCTCACATAACTATACGGACCTCATATGATGTCACAGTCATCGTCAATCAATTGGGTGGTACTTCCATGTCGCGATTAATAGTTCATATGTGACTCGGAAGGCTAAAGCTAAAGACTATTTGGGCAAAAGTAGCTTATGCAGCCCCACTCATATATCTCTAGTTCCAGCATTTTGTCCTGCAAAAACGGTGGTTATAGGGTTTCATGGGATGGGAAAATAAGATAGGCAGAGAAGGAAATGTTTAGAAGTAAGTGTAAGGTGAAGAAATGTAGTCGAAATCGCTTCCGGCGGCCGCTGGGAGCAGGTTGTTCCGCCTGTAAATTGAAGGTATGCGCGACGCTCCGCCCCGCGGACTATATTAATCTAACTGCAGAACGGTAAGTTGGACCACAGGTAAGTTGAATTAGACGACCTCCTAATCACCATTTCAATTTTTCGGGAAATTCGAGAAATCTGCAATTTGATAATCGGGTTTTTTCCGCAATAACTTCAATGATAATACAGATTAGGAAAATCGACAGATATAAATCAACAACACTTCTAAACACAGTAAAAAAAAAATGCATTTAGCATTTATTAAAGTATATTCCTAATTTCCCGCCCATAGAAACAAATAAACACCGTTTTTGTAGGAAAACATGCGGGTTGTAGGGATTAATGATTGGGGCTACATGAGCTACTGTTGCCACTATTTGGACAGCTACAATTGGCCATTTTTGAATGTCGTGTAATCTGGGAAAACGTCAAAGACTGCGACTGTTATAGGTCGAAGATAAAAGTCAATCGCAAAACTGGGCGCAGTCGGAAGACTCATATGGAGGTACAGCCCCCTAAGTAATTATAACCTATACGATTATGCTACTTACAGTATGCGAGTAGCCGTGTATATTTACTCTTTAAGATTAACTAACGACTGCTCGCTTTTCGCATGCAATTACATATGTAAAACACTTTTCGCATTTTTCTGCGTCTTCAATACATTCCTTAGCCACTGGATCACCAATAAGGGGAAGAAGTAAAACTCTACATTAACTCTGTGTTACGTATATGTCACGTATACAGCTGGCTAACAACAATTTCCGGTGACATTAGCTATTAATGAATAAACTGCTGCGTTGGCGGTGTAGGAATCCGATCCTGTATGTATTTTAAATCCGGGATGAATTTGCTGTAAGTGTAAAACGATTCTGGTTGCCTCTTTTCCAGGAGTGAACCTAATGTTGACCGGGCACCACTGCTTTCGACGTACCAACCCGAGCGAACCAAACAGAAGGCCTCCGACTCAACCACTCCCGCTCAACAACAATCAGAACAACAAAAC